TTTTGATTGTAGGAATTTATGCACCGAATGAGGGGAAATCTGAATTCTATAAAAAGTTGCATGAGACTCTACTGGATTATCTGGATTACAATTTGATCTTGATGGGGGACATGAATGGAGTAGTATCTACAAACATGGACAAGGCACAAAGACAGGTAGTTACCAAGGATGGTAGATTACTGAAAACATTCTTTGAGATGACAGACAACACGGACTTAGTGGACATCTGGAGGGTAAAGAACCCCCTGGGAAGAGAGGGAACCTTCTTTTCTGAAGCCAAGATGACATGGACTAGAACTGACCAAATATGGATAACTAGAGGAATGGCACCAAAGATAAAGAAAGTAGAAATCTGCCCAAAAACCTGCTCTGACCATAACGCTGTAAGGATGGAGATGAAACAAATAACAACCGGATCCTTCAGATGGAGGATGAATGACACCTTATTTAGAGATGAAGAAGTGTATAAAAAGGCCCAAAAAACTTTGAGAGACTACTTTGAAATAAATATGAATACCAGCGTAGAAAAAAGAGTAATCTGGGACGCAAGCAAAGCTGTCATGAGAGGGTTTCTGATACAACAGAATGCAATAAAGAAGAGAAGTCAAAATGAGAAGAAAGATAAAATTTTGGAGAAAATAAAAGAAGGTGAGAAGAAATTGAGAGCAAAACCAAAGTCCCAGGAGATTTTGAGAGAAATAAAATTGTATCAAGTACAATATATGGAAATGATGAATCAGGAAATAGAATGGAAAATCAAACAAATGAGACAAAAAACATCTGAATCAGCTAACAAATGTGGGAAATTGTTGGCCTGGCAAATGAAAAAAGACAAAAATTAAATACCATTACAAACTTAGAAGTGGAAGGAAAGAGTATACATAACCCAATTGAGATTAGAAATTGTTTCCAGAGGTACTTTAAACAATTATACACACAAGGGCCACAGAAAGAAATGGACATAGACCAATTTTTGAAGACAAATGGATTACAAAAATCTCTCAAGAAAGTAAATTAATGTTGAACTATAAAATATCTGAACAGGAAGTAGAAGGTGCCATACAAAATATGCAACTGGGCAAATCTCCAGGACCGGATGGGCTGACTTCTAGATACTACAGATCTTTGAAAGAGTGGTTATTGCAACCTTTGAAGGAAGTCTGCAATGAAATATTGGAAGGGAAAAGGGCGCCAGAGTCGTGGAAAGAGGCGTATATTACACTTATACCGAAAACAGAGACTGAAAAGACCCAGCTTAAGAACTACCGCCCTATATCGTTACTTAATGTGGATTACAAAATTTTTGCAGATATTTTGGCCAAGAGATTGAAAAAGTATTGATGGAAGAGATCCATAAAGACCAAGCGGGCTTTCTCCCGGGAAGACACTTGTCTGATAACTTGAGGAATATAATTGATATTTTGGAAAAATTAGAAGTGAATATAAACACTAAAGCAGTTTTGATATTTGTGGACGCGGAGAAAGCTTTTGACAATATCTCTTGGAGTTTTATGAAGAAGAACCTACATGGGATGGGGGTAGGCCAAGGTTTTGAAAATGGTATAGGTGCAATATATTCTGAACAAAAGGCCAAATTAATTGTAAATAATGTGGTCACGGAAGAATTTAAGATAGAAAAAGGGACACGACAGGGGTGCCCAATCTCCCCACTGCTTTTTATATCGGTCCTGGAGGTCTTGCTAAACATGATTAGAAGGGACCGACGGTTGGTTAAAGGTATACAGGTCGGAGCCAAACAGTACAAACTGAGAGCATTTGCAGATGACTTAGTATTGACGTTACAGGAGCCAGAATCTAGTACTAAAAGGGTTTTAGAATTAATTCAAGAATTTGGTCAAGTGGCAGGTTTTAAATTGAACAAGTTAAAAACTAAGGTTTTAGAGAAAAATTTAACACCGATTGAAAGAGATAGGTTTCAGAATGAGACAGGATTGACTGTGGTAAAGAAAGTGAAATACTTGGGGATTAATATGACAGCCAAAAATGGGAACTTATTTAAAGATAATTATGAAAAATGTTGGACGGAAGTGAAAAAGACTTAGAAATTTGGTCAAATTTGAAACTTTCATTGTTGGGCCGCATTGCTGTGATAAAAATGAATGTATTGCCGAGAATGTTGTTTTTATTTCAGACATTGCAAATTGTGGACAAGATGGACTGTTTTAAGAAGTGGCAGAGAGATATTTCTAGATTTGTCTGGCAGGGCAAGAAGCCCAGAATAAAATTTAAGATACTAACAGATGCAAAGGAAAGAGGTGGATTTACCCTGCCAGACCTTAAACTTTACTATGAATCAGCAGCTTTTTGCTGGTTGAAAGAATGGCTACTTCTTGAAAACACAGACATTTTGGATTTAGAAGGTTTTAACAATGTATTTGGATGGCATGCATATTTATGGTATGATAAGGTCAAAGCACACAAAGCATTCAAAAATCATATTGTCAGGAAAGCATTGTTTAATGTCTGGATAAGATATAAAGATTTATTGGAAAATAAAACCCCAAGGTGGCTGTCACCAATGGAAGCAAAAGCTCTGAAAAGGCTCAATATGGAGGCCAAATGGCCGACATATTGGGAAATTTTGGAACAAGAAGGAGATAAATTGAGATTGCAGAGTTTCGAAAAACTAAAAAACAAAGTGAGAGATTGGCTTCATTACTATCAGATAATGGAGGCATATAATTTGGATAAGAAAATTGGCTTCCAGGTGGAAAAGTCAAAATTAGAAACAGAACTGTTAGAACCCAAAACTAAGAATCTGTCAAGAATGTATAACTTGCTGTTGAAATGGAATACTCAGGATGAAACGGTGAAATCTGCTATGATTAAATGGGCACAAGATGTTGGACATAATATTATGTTTGCTGACTGGGAACAGTTATGGACCACAGGTATGAAGTTTACGGCATGTAATGCCTTAAGAGAGAATATTATGAAAATGATATACAGGTGGTACATGACCCCAGTCAAGCTTGCAAAAATCTATCATTTGCCCGACAATAAATGCTGGAAATGTAAAGAAACTGAAGGTACATTCTTTCACCTTTGGTGGACGTGCCCAAAGATTAAGGCTTTCTGGGAAATGATATATAATGAATTGAAAAAGGTATTTAAATATACCTTCTTGAAGAAACCAGAGGCCTTCCTTCTGGGCATTGTCAGCCAATTGGTGCCAAAGAAGGACAGAACTTTTTTTATGTATGCTACAACAGCAGCAAGAATACTCATTGCAAAGTATTGGAAGACACAAGATCTACCCACTCTGGAAGAATGGCAGATGAAGGTGATTGACTACATGGAATTGGCAGAAATGACTGGCAGAATCCGAGACCAGGGAGAAGAGTCGGTGAAAGAAGACTGGAAGAAATTTAAAGACTATTTACAGAAATATTGTAAAATTAATGAATCTTAGAAGGATGTTGGATAGAAACTAAGTGGTTTCCAGCTGTAATGCTTTAAGAGATACGAAAAAGGTTCACAAATGGGTAAAAGCTTAATGGTAAGGATTTGCTGAACTAACAAACTGAACTGGAATACAAAAAGGGAGGTACGAGGAGGTCCGGGGAAATAAGTGTAAGGAAGATATGCTATGGAAAATTAATGTGTTTTTAACTGTTTTTATTTTGTATGGTTTTTTTATTTTTCATTTCTTTGTTATTCTTTTTTCTGTATTTTGTATTTTCCTGTATTTTTACTTTTTGTTTTTGTGTAATTCTTGTATTCTTTGAAATTTTAATAAATATCATTTTAAAAAAAAACAAAAAACATGAGGCCAGGGCCCTGCAGGACTTGACATCTTTCCGCAGGGCCTGCAAGATGGAGCTGTTCCACCGGGCCTTTGGCCAAGGCACAGTCTGACCCCCTCCTTTGGTAATCCTCACAGAACTCTAGTCCAATGGTTGCCATTAATTTGATTTTGAATTGATTTTAGAATGCTGTGTTACTTTTACTGCTGTTAGCTGCTCTGAGCCTGGCTTCACCTGGGGAGGGTGGGATATAAATAAAATTTTATTTATTTATATTATTATTCCACTGCCTCCCGCAGTTTGGTCAGACTCATGCTGGTAGCTTCGAGCAGCTCTTCCCAGGTCTGCGCTCTATGAGCAGCTGCAACAACAGGGGCAGCTCTCCCTCCCTCCCTTTATGCTCCTCACGGCCAGAGACTGAGCCTGCTCAGAAGCTCCCTCTGCCCTTCCCTCTTCAGTCCCCTCCTGGTTCTGGGAAACGGAGGTTCAGGAGAAGGTGGGGAAGCCCCTGGCCCTTCCCTGGCCTGCCTCTTCCTCCTCTTCCTCCAGCTCTGAAGCGTCCCCTGCCTCCGCCTCTTGCCTCCCGACTGGCCCAGTTCCCCACAAATCACTGCCCCCCTCCTTCAAGCCAGACTCCAGCCCCTCTTCCCGTGTAGCGTCCTGCCAGCCCCTGCCAGCAGGGCTGCATCTTCTGCCTTCACTGACCCCCTTTTCCTAGTGGCAGCCGCCACCCTCTGCACAGAGGAGGAGGAGATCACCCCCTCCCCCCCCCCCCCGCAGATCTCCCTTCATCCCTCTCTCCAAAACTCAGCGAGAGACATCAAAAGGTAGCTTCAAGGGGAAGCCAAGAAAGGGAAAGTGTGAACAGCCCCCAGGCCAAGCAGGCGCAGAGCCCCCCAGGGCCCCGGAGGAGAACCTGCCGTCCTTTATTGCTATTCCAGGAGGCGCCCATCTCCCCGCTCAGCAGTCCCTCCACGTCCGGCTGCTTTGCCAAATGACAGCCAGCGCCTCCCCCGCAAAGAGACGGAGAGGGATCCCCCCCCCCGCAAGGAGCAGAGAATTGTGGCTCTGTTTATTGCGCTCATAGCCAACCTTTTCCCTCCCAGGAGCTCAAGGGGCGCAACAAGGGGCTTCTCCAGCTCCTCATTTATTTCCCACACCAACCCTGCGAGGGAGGCTGACCCAAGAGAGGGGGGAACTGGGGACCAGGAGGAACGAGAGAAGCTGCAGTTCTCAAAATTCTCCCCTCTCGGATCGTGGGGGGGGGGGGGAGTGGTCAAGGGGAGGCGATGTGCCACGGGGGGGCACCTTGGGAGGCTTTGAGGGAGGAGCAGCCCCCCTCTGCGGCTGCCAGGCTCCCTCCCCCGCTCGGACCCGCAGGCAGCACTTACCTGGCTGCCGTTCGGCCAGGTAAACAACCACCTGTGTCAACAGCGGGGGGGGGCGGTCAGGTGCCTCCGCCCCTCCCCCAGCAAACACGGCGTCGGCTTTCCGGCTCGGGGCTGCTGCTGGGAGACGCCACCCCCACCCCCACTCGAGGAGCCCGAGGGCCAGCAGTTTGGCCCGCGCAGGGGTGGGGTGGGGGCTCTTGCTGCCCCCCGCACTGCGCCTGGCTGGCTGGAGTTGAGCGCCGGCCGGCCGACCTTCTTCCCCGAAAGACCAGGGAGCCTGGGGATAAAGGCACTCTGCACATGCCCTGGGGCACGGGGTGCGGCCCTCGTGTGGAAAGCGCCTCGCCACCCGGGAAAAGTGTCCTTTGCCCCGAACTCTGCCCATGCTCAAGGGTGAGCCTCGGCGCGCCAAGCTGTTCCAGAGCGGCCCTCCTTCTTTGCATGGCAGGGGGTTAGCTAGATGACCCCTGGGTTCCCTTCCCACTCGGCCATCCTGTGATTGGCCGGCGCTCCGCCCCCGCCCCCGGGGCATGTGCAGAGCGCCCCGCCTGCGCCGCGGACCGCAGCTCCCGGGCGCAGCGAGGGCCCCCGTCCGCCGTCCGGGGGCGCTGCTGCTCCGGCGTGCTGGGTGTCGGGCTCGGGGTGGCAGCAGCCTTGAGCCGGGCGGCTGCAGAGGCGGCGGCGAGCGAAGGGGGAGGAGGCAGCGGCGGAGGCGGCGGCGGCGGCGGAGGCGGGCGGGCGAGGAGGGGGCGTCAGTCTGCCTGGGCTGCCGGCCGCGACGCCACGCCGCTGAGCGCCCGGCGCGGAGGACCCGCCGAGGATGGAGGCTCCGCGCCCCTTCAACGAGTCGCTGCTCTGCGGCCGGACCGGGAACGGCTCGGCCGGCGGCGTCTGGAACGGGACCGGCGGAGGCTGCGACGCTTCGCGGAGACCCCCGCGCGGAGCCATAGGTGAGGAGGACGCCCAAGGCATCGGTGAACCGGGACAGCCCCCCCCCCCCCAAAAAAATTCCACCTTCTCTGCAGCACCGGCGAGCCTAATGCCGGAATCCACCCGCCACGCGCGCACGCCCGCGCATCTCGGCCGCGGAACTCCCGCGCCCACCCCGCAAGATCCCCCTAAAGAAGAGGGTGGGAGCCCCCATCACCGTCTCCCTTTTTGCCTGGGACACCCCCAAAGGGGACATGCAACACACACAACCAACACGTTCCTTCGGGGACCCCCTCGCGCTTCTCGCGTGGGAACTCTGAAGCGCCCCCCACCCGCGATTCCACACAGCCCCAGCGGGGCTGGGGAGGGTAATGGACCTCCCCCCTCAGCATCCTAGAGGAGACCCCTGTCACCAGAAAATAGGGGGGTGTCTTTTGATAGACCCCTGTTTTCTGGTGAAACCCCCAACCCAACTATTTGGAGCCTCCCCAGCCCAAGCCCGTGTTTGAGGCAGCGGGGAGACCCCCCTCGTCTCCACGTGGTGTCGCCTCCACGTCCCTGGATCGGGTCCTCCAGCCTCCATTTCTGCCCTTTGCAGGTCCTGACCCCCCTCCCGCAGTCCATCTCAGTCATTCCCTCCGGTCCTTGGAGGACTTCGGAGCATGCACAGAGTTCTTTTGTGGCCTGGGTGCTGCCGTGTCCCTCCGGGTTGGACCCCTGGCTTCTCTTCTCGGGGGGGGGGGGGCTTTCGGGGGGGCTTGGCTTCTCTCCTTTGGGTAAGAGCATGAGCACAGTGCCAGGGGCCCCTCGAGTCCGGCAGGGAAGCCCGAAAGCGGGAAGGTGTGCGGAGGAGGGAGAGCAGGATGAGGCGCGGGAGGAACCGTGGAGGGAGCTGGACTTGGAGACCGAGAGGAGACGGGATAGCCATCTTCCAATATCGGAAGGGCTGTCCCTCTAGAATCCTGGAATGGTAGAACTGGAAGGGACCTCAAGGGTCCTCTAGTCCAACCCCAGCAATGCAGGAATCGCAGCTAAAGCATCCGGGAGAGAGGCCACCCTGTGGAACTCCCTCCCTTGGGAAGCTAGACTGGCTCCCTCCTGGTTGTCCTTCCCTGGTGGCTGAAGACCTTTGAATGAAAGGGTTGGGACCCTGCTGGTTTCGTTACAACTGCATGTCTTAAAATAGCTCAGACAGATAGAGAGAGAGAGAGTGCTTTTTTCTGGGGGGACGCAGAGGGACGCATACCCCAAAACATTTTGTGAATCTAAGTTTGGCCTCATTGAGGGGCAGGATTTCAATATGAGTAGGAAAATGAGAGGTGTTGTTGTTGAGTTGTTTAGTCGTGTCCGACTCTTTGTGACCAACCTGTCTGGGTATTCTCATTTTGTTTTTCTTTATAAAGTAGGGAGATAAAAGGTAAACAAAATGAGAATACCCATAAACAATTTTTTAAAGAAAAAAGCGCTAGATAGATAGATAAGACAGACAGACAGGTTTATTCTATTAATGTTTCTTTTTAATTTTTTTAATGACTTCCTCCCCTGTGTTTTTAGCTGTTTATATTTTATCTGTCAGCCACCTTGCGTTCCAACAGGGGAAAAGGCAGGGTATCAATAAACAGATAACAAGAATGCCAGGTGATGATAACCTCTGCTTCAGAAGGAGAACCTGCCACCTTCGCAGGGAGGGAGTCCGCCCCCCTGTCAAATAGCTCTTACTCCCAGAAAGTTCTTCCTAATGTTTAGTCGGAAGGTGAAGCAAGGCTGTTTTCTGCCGCTCCAGAGGGTAACACCCAGACTGGTGGATTCAAAGGGCAAGAAATGAGATTCCGACTAAACATCAGGAGTAATTTACTTATTATGATTTGACAGTGGAGTGGTCTCCCTCGGGAGACAGTGAACTCTCCTGCCTTGGAGGTTTTGAAGCAGAGGTTGGACGGCACCCTGTTGTGTGTGCTTTAGCTGAGATTCCTGCATTGCAGGGGGTCAGTCTAGATGACCCTCAGTCTCCCTTCTGCGAAAGAGAGTGGGACTCCCTCCTGGTGCGGCCTTTTCAGAGGCGACTCCCAGTTTGCAGAAGGCTCTCCGTGGGGAGGCTCACCTGGCACAATCATTTCCTGGCTTTCATGCTGGGCAAAAACTCCTCTTTAACTTGCTCTCTGGCTTGTGCTTCTCTGTGACCTCTTAGAACTGGTATGGTGTTTTCAGTGTACCTTTAAGGTATTATTTCAACATGTTCTTTTTTTTATTTTAACGTATCTCTGTGGAGGTTTTCTGTTTCTTTGTTTGCTCATTTGCTTCTAAGCCGCTTTGAGTTGCCTTTGGCAAGATACAGCGAGCCTCCAATTTAATAAATAATAGCCCAAAGTACAGTCTTACCTCAGCTCCCGAACGCCTTGGGAGTCGAACGTTCCAGCTCCCGAATGATGATCAAAAACTGGAAGTGATTATTCAGGTTTTTTTGAACTTTTTTTGGAAGCCGAACATCTTCCGCTCCTTAGTTTCTGAATGTCTCGGAAGTCGAACGGACTTCCGGAACGGATTCCGTTCGACTTCCGAGGTACGGCTGTGATCCTAACCCCTCCTGCATTAATTCAGACAGGAGGTTTGGGAGGCGGAGGGTCTGGGTCTCAGAGGCACAAGGGGGGGGTGCCAGGCAGTCATGCCCAGGGGCCTTCCCCCCTCTGGGGAGGGTCAGCTGGAAGGCATGTCCTTGGCAGGGGCAGGGAGAGAGAGAGAGAGAGAGGAAGATCCGGATTGCCTCTGTGTAGGTGTGGACACAGCTCTCCACACACACAAACCCCTGTTGGGGGGGGGGCTGTTGGTGCTGGCACTGCCTGCTCCCTCCTGCCTTCCGCTCCCATCTCTGCATGTCACGGCCGGCTGACACATCCTTATCAGCAGAAAGGTACCTTGGCAAACAGCGGCCTCTTCCCTGGGAGAAACCAGAGGAAGCAACACCTGGAGAGGCGTCCGGCAAGGATAGCAGGACGCCTGGGTCCTCTGGGATGGGTGGCATGAGGGTAGGTGTCTTGGGTGGGCAAGGCCTGTCTCTGAAATGAGCCACCCTCAGGAAACTCCCAGGGGAGGCCAGCTGTCAGCCTCTGCAGGTTTCAGGGCCTGGTGAGGCCTCCGTGGGCAGCAGGAGTGCCAGCAGCCTGCTCAGAGCAGGGAGGCTGGCATTGGAGTGGCAGGGGCGAGGGGGGTGAGGGGGGGCGAGGGGAGCTGCCAGCAGCTGCTGAGAGAAGGTCAGGCGGCAGTAGGTAGGAGAAAAGGGAATAAGACCCCAGGGTGGTGGGTGGCACACGCAGGATATGGAGAGTTGGGCAGACCGGATCCAGAACTGCCCCTGTCTGGGAGGGAGGGAGGATGGACTGCTGCAATGCGCTCTGCGTGGGGCTACCTTTGAAGGTGACTCGGAAACTGCAATTAATCCAGAACGTGGCAGCTGGACTGGTGACTGGGAGCGGCCGCCGAAACCATATAACACCGGTCCTGAAAGACCTACCTTGGCTCCCAGTACGTTTCCGAGCACAATTCAAAGTGTTGGTGCTGACCTTTAAAGCCCTAAACGGCTTCCTCCCAGTAGACCTGGTGGAGCATCTCCATCCCCATCGTTCAGCCCAGACCATAGCTGTCAATGTTTCCCTTTTTTTAAGGGATATTCCCTTATTCCAAATAGGATTCCTTGCAAGAAAAGGGAAAAGTTGACAGCTATGGCCCCGACACGGAGGTCCTCCTCTGAGGGTCTTCTGCTGGTTCCCTCACTGTGGGAAGTGAAGTTACAGGGAACCAGGCAAAGGGCCTTCTCGGTGGTGGCGTCCGCCCTGTGGAACGCCCTCCCACCAGATGTCAAGGAACTAAACAACTATCTGACTTTTAGAAGACATCTGAAGGCAGCCCTGTTTCGGGAAATTTGATGTTTTATTATGTTTTTATACCTGTTGGAAGCTGCCCAGAATGGCTGGTGCAACCCAGTCAGATGGGGGGGGGGTGGAAGTATTATTATTATAATATTCCCCAAGGAAGCTCATCGCTAAAGAGACACCCCCCCCCCAGGCTGAAGCACAGGAAGCTGCAAGCACCCTAGAACTGTCGATAGGAGTATAGCATCTAGATCAAGGGAAGTAATAGTGCCACTGTATTCTGCTCTGGTCAGACCTCACCTGGAGTACTGTGTCCAGTTCTGGGCACCACAGTTCAAGAAGGACACTGACAAACTGGAACGTGTCCAGAGGACGGCAACCAAAATGGTCAAAGGCCTGGAAACGATGCCTTATGAGGAACGGCTAAGGGAGCTGGGCATGTTTAGCCTGGAGAAGGGGAGGTTAAGGGGTGATATGATAGCCATGTTCAAATATATAAAAGGATGTCACCTAGAGGAGGGAGAAAGGTTGTTTTCTGCTGCTCCAGAGAAGCGGACACGGAGCAATGGATCCAAACTACAAGAAAGAAGATTCCACCTCAACATTAGGAAGAACTTCCTGACAGTAAGAGCTGTTGGACAGTGGAATTTGCTGCCAAGGAGTGTGGTGGAGTCTCCTTCTTTGGAGGTCTTTAAGCAGAGGCTTGACAACCATATGTCAGGAGTGCTCTGATGGTGTTTCCTGCTTGGCAGGGGTTGGACTCGATGGCCCTTGTGGTCTCTTCCAGCTCTATGATTCTATGATTCTATGATGCTATGAGTTGGAAGGGACCCCGGGAGTCATCGAGTCCACCCCCAGCAATGCAGGAAACACAGCCACGGAATCCCAACACCCTGGGGGTAGCATAAGCCCCATAGCTCCTAGCTGGCCTCTCTGGGGCCAGGCCGGCCGGCCTGCTTGGCTGCCCCCCCCCTCATTCTGGGCAGGAGGGCTCACGCTGGCCTCTCCCCCTGCTCTCTTCATGACATCATTTAAACTACATTACTGTATTTTAATATTTTGTTGGAAGCCGCCCAGAGTGGCTGGGGAAGCCCAGCCAGATGGGCGGGGTATAAATAAATTATTATTATTATTATTATTATTATTATTATTATTCTCCCTGGGCAGCAGACCTGGACCTGACCGTGCGGATCTTTCTCTACTCGGTGATCTTCTTGCTGAGCGTCTTTGGCAACGTGCTGGTGATCTGGGTGCTGGTGGCCAACAAGCGCCTACGCACCGTCACCAACTCCTTCCTGCTCTCGCTGGCGCTCAGCGACCTCATGGTGGCCGTCTTCTGCCTGCCCTTCAGCTTCATCCCCAGCCTGATGGGCACCTTCGTCTTTGGCAAGGCCGTCTGCAAGGCCGTCGCCTACCTCATGGGTGAGCCGGGGGCACGGAGGGGGCGCCCTCGAGTCCCACGGAGGGGAAGGGGCTGCCCTGGCTCTGAGACGGGACTCCTTGACCCTCTTCCTCTGTCCCCACCCCAGGGATGGCGGTCAGCGTCTCCACCTTCAGCCTCGTCGCCATCGCCATCGAGCGCTACAACGCCATCTGCAACCCGCTCCAGTCGCGCGTCTGGCAGACCCGCTCCCACGCCTACCGCGTCATCGCCGCCACCTGGCTGATCTCGGCCCTCCTGATGCTGCCATACCCCATCTACACCACCACCACGACGCCGCCCGGAGAGCCCCACATCACCCAGTGCACCCACAAGTGGCCCGGGAGCAACGTCAAGCAGGCCTGGTGAGGAGCGGTGGGGGGGGGGGAGCGCTGGGCCCTGGCGCCAGGGAGCAGGAGGAGAGCCAGTCCTCCCAGTGGCCAAATCCCCCTAGGGAGCAAGATAGACTGCCACTGGGACTGGGGGCTCCAGGAGGACCCAAGGAGAACCCACAGGGGACCCGTCTGGCCCAGTGTCCTCTTCTCACAGGGACCAACCAGATCCTCAATGGGAAAACCCACAAGCGGGATCTGGGCCCAAGAGGACTCTCCTGAGGTTTCCAGAAACTGGTGTTCAGAAGCATGGCTAGGAGCCATCGATAGCGCTCTCCCCCTCCGTGAATTTATTTCTCCAGAGCCATCATGGCTGCCTCATGAGGGAGGGAGTTCCACAGACTAACACTGCGCTGCATGCAGAAGGACTTTCTTTTACCCGTCCTGGATCTCCCCACTTTCAGCTCATGGGATGCCCATGTGAGTGTTGGGGAGGGCAGGGTTTTCTCTCGGTGTGCAGGACACCATGTCCCACAGAGCGGACGGTCCCCAAGTGTGACAGGCCTCCTAAGAGGCAGTGTTGTGTAGTGGTTAGACCTAGAAGGGACCAGGGTTCAGAGTCCAACTCAGCCATGAAGCTGAAGTGGGATTTAAGCAAATACGTGAAATATATAAATTGTTCCTGGATGCACCCCCCCCAAAAAAAAACATCCCTGCACCTAGTCCCCTTGCACAGATCCAGTCATCAGAAGTGCTGCCTCCCCCCGCAAGCAGCACCCGCTGATCTCTCACCAGAGCAGTTGCAGCAGCGTGAAGAAAGACATGGCAGGATTGGGGCCCCATTCATCCTGAGGCCTCATTCTGTTCAGGCTGCAGCCCCAGTGGCTTGAGGGGGAAAGTGGGGCGCTGAAGGCACAATTCCTTTGCACCACTGGTTTAAAGATTTGGGGGAGCACCCACGGGAGAAGCGGGGGGGCAGAGACAGACACAAAGTCCTTGCTCAAAGGGACGGCAGCATTTGCACAGCCCCCCACGCCAAACGTCTTGCAGTGTGCAAGAGGGAAACTTGGCGCATGTGTTATTTTTATTATTATTAATTCAACTTATACACCGCCCTATACCTGGAGGTCTCAGGGTGGTACACAACAAGACCGCAACATATAAAATCAAACCAAAAGCAATAACCCAATATAACACCCCCCCCCCAAAAAAAGAACCACAGGGTGTTGGATGTCAATAAGGTTATTAGCCAAAGGCCTGGTTAAAAAGGAACGTTTTTGCCTGGCGCCTAAAGGTGTATAATGAATGTGCCAGGCAAACTTCCCTGGGGAGAACATTCCACAGATGGGGAGCCACTGCAGAGAAGGCCCCGTTCTCCTGTTGCCACCATCTGGACCTCTTGAAGAGGCGTCACACGAAGGAGGGCCTCAGAAGATGATCTCAGGGTCCAGGAAGGTTCATAAGGGAAGAGGTGTAGCGTGGATGTATCAGGGCAGTTTGAGTTGTGTCTTCCATCAGAGACAAAATGAGCCCAAGTTTTGCCCCAGAGCTCCTGTCTGCTTTCTGGGCTGAAGCCTCTGCACCTTGCTTGACAAGGGATCCTTTCTTCAAGCTGCAGTCAGGAAGGGAATGCTTTCTGGGAGGTCTGGAAGCCTCCCCAGTCAATTTGCTGGCCCCAAGGACACGTGTCGAACGGCATTAAAAGCACGGCTCCTCCTTTCAGCTCCTCCGCACAGGAGCCAAGTTTAATGAGTAAACCAGGCCTGAGAGGGCAGCCCTGGGCAGAATGTCGATGGGCCCATCAATCAGACTCTAAGTACCATCTCTTGACTTGCTGACTCACAGCCTTTTTTTAATTAAAAAAAAAGCCATTTTGTACAGAAAAAGGCAAAGACCCGCAGGTCAGAGGCGGTCAGAGTGGTGGCTTTCCGCCCTTTGGGCTCTCTTTAAGAGTGCCTGTTAGATCCCAGTGGCCAACGCAGTCCAACATCCTGTTTTTGCCATGGCTGAACAATTGTCTGTGGGAAGCAGGATCCGAGCAACTGGAATCCAGGAGCAGTTTAATTTTCTCTATCCTGAATCATCCGACACTCAGCTTCATTGAACGGCCACGAATTCCAGTGGGAGGGAAAGTGTTTTGTGCCCATGGCAGAAAGACCGCATCAAAATGTGGGAATGTTCAAGGATGCAGGAGAGCATATATTGTTTGATTATATCCTTTTCCAACCTGTGTTAACAAGTTCCACAATTTAGCAGAGTAACATTCCCTTTTTAAAACTTGCAGCGGATGCGTTTGCTCTGGCTTGCTAAAGCCTCTAGAATAACTGTTCTGGTATTTCCCCCTTATTCCCTCATTAAAGATAAGACACGATACAATCTTCTATAAAAGTATATAAAGGTTTACTCACACATCATTCTGTTCACAATTGGATCCCAGAAGGCAGACTTATCTTAGAAAAGTAACATATACCTAGAAACTATCTCATAAGGAGACAGTCCCTTTGTCCTCTCCTGGCTGGAGGCCAAGAGAGCATCTTTGGCTAAGCAGATGTTGCTTCTTCGATGCATGTAGTCAAAGAGAGAGAGATGACTGCCCTGCCCTGTGCTTTTGTCCTTACCTGCACAGGTGAGGCCACGCCCACCTCTAGTCACATGCAGAGGAAGTCTGTCCCAGCCCAGAAGGAAACAGGAAGTTGACCTGCTGGCTGGGCAAACATTCCTCCCCAGGTGTAAACATGTTCACTCTAGGAAGGTTGTACTTGACTGCTCTTGCGTTTCACATCCCACACAATAATGTCATTGCAAAATGGGTTGGCCGTGTACATCAGCTCATGCTCAGAGGTCCTGTTTCTCCAACCTGTTTACAAGTCTCTCCATCCGGGTGCATGACAGTACCTGACAGTGGCCCTTCCTGGCGTGTCTGAGACGTCCTTTGGGAATGCTGAATGCCTTGGCTCCCCAACCTGTTCCCCATCCATGCCCAGAAGATGCCCTTTGGACAGGTCTGCTTGGCAAGTTCAACAGATACTTGCCAGGCTGGTTATGCAGAGGGCTTCCCTGTGACGTGACTTGAGAGGGTCTCCAAGGCTGACCGGGGGGCTCAATTGCTGCTGTATTGCTCTCTGTCCTGCTTACGTACTTGTGGGTGTGAGTTTACCTTGTGCACCTGGGAGCGCTTTGGAAAGAGGGTCTGGCAAATCCAGGGAGGAGAGTGAGGCCTTTCTCAAGGGCAACCATCTCCACTTTCCTCCTGGCCAGGTCCGTCCTGCTGCTGGTCACTCTCTTCCTGATCCCAGGACTGGTGATGATCGTGGCCTATGGACTGATCTCCCGGGAGCTCTACAGGGGCATTCAGTTTGAGATGGACCTCACCCGGCAGGCCAAAGGTTGGTGTGGGGCAGGGGTGGGAAAAGCTGGGGGCGTTGGCTGGGGGGTCACTGGGGGTGGGCTCATCAGCTAAGCCGGAGCCTGGGGGAGGCAGGGCAGTGGGTTTCTGGGCTTGTAAAGATGCACAGGCCTGGATACCCCCCCCATATTTTTTTTGTTGAGGTGTCATGCAAGACCTTTGCGTCTCTACAAGCCTTCAGATCGTGGCCAGAGGGACTGGTGTAACTGAGTCACCAGCAGTTTTGATGCTTCAGAAACCCATTTTGCTGTTTATTGGGCTACGTTTTGAAGCTTGTTCCTCATGTTACTTCTGCACCTAATGTTGGCCACCCTGTTGGCTCTGCCTGAGGACGGGCGCTGTGTTAGAAATGTCACGATCATGGACTCGGAAGGGAACCCAGGGGTCATCTAGTCCAACCCCCCAAGGAAGCAGGAATCGGAGCTAAGGAACTCCTGAAAAGCGACCGTCCAACCTCCAAGGAAGGAGAGCCCCACCATCTTTGGTCACATAAAAGGTGGAGCAAGCTTGTTTTCTCCTGCTGTGGAAGGGAGGCCCTGAACCAACCGATTCAAATCACAAGAAAGGAGATTTTGCCTAAACCTCAGGAGAAACTTTCTGGGAAGATGGTGGACTCTCCTTCCTGGAGGTTTTCCAGCAGAGGTTGGGTGGTCATCTGCCTGGGATGTTTCAGCTCAGATTCCTGCACTGCAGAGGGTGGACTGGATGGCCCTGGGGGTCCCCCGCTCTCCCAAGCCCTCCTCACATGCCCTTCCCCCTTGTGTCCCCCAGCCCAGCAGAACGGGGGATCCGTGGAGCCCCTCCCGCCTTGCGCGGAGGAGGGCGATGGCTGCTACGTCCAGGTGTCCCGGCCGGCAGGGGGCGCGGTGGAGCTGTCGGTCCTGACCCCCGAGGACGGGGCCCAGCAGGAGGCGGCTCGCGTCAACACCTCCCGGGCGAAGCTGCTGGCCAAGCAGCGGGTGGTGCGCATGCTGGTGGCCATTGTGGTGCTCTTCTTCGTCTGCTGGCTGCCCCTCTACGCCGTCAACACCTGGCGGGCCTTCGACCCCCAGGCCGCCCACCGCGCCCTCTCGGGGACCCCCATCTCCTTCATCCAGCTGCTCTGCTTCGCCTCCGCCTGCGTCAACCCCTTCGTCTACTGCTTCATGAACAAGCGCTTTCGCAAAGCCTTTGCCGCCACCTGCTCCTGCGGCCGGGCAGCCCCCTGCTACCGGAGGCGCCCTCGGCCCCCCGAGGACGAGCTCACGGCCACGGGGGCCTCCCTCTCCAAGTTCAGCTACACCACCGTCAGCAGCGTCGGGCCCCCTTGACCCTGCCAGACAGCTCCGGGGAGGCTGCCCCACATCCCGAGACCCTCCCCCCCGCTCCCTCGCACGCCCTCCCCCAGGAGGCGTCACCGCCCTCCCCATGGCTGTGTCTCTGGCACCCCAAACCTTTCCTCCCTGGCTCCCCTCTTACCTTGGTAAGGTAAGTCAGAAACCTCCTGGGGGGTTGCAGAGGGGACTAAAGCAAGAGGGGCGTAAAGAGGAGCTGAGCTCTTCCTGCATTGCAGCGGGTTGGACTAGATGACCCGGGGGCCCCTTCCAACTCTACAGTTCTGCTATTCCTGAGACGATGCAGGTGCGGCCCATTCACACCTTAGCTTAATCTTGAAAATACGCCCCACTTCACACCACACACCCCTGTGTCTCTTTTAGTTCCCCCTCGTCCCCACACCAAAAGCAGCCTCTGCCCCAGACTTTCTCCCTGCTGCATCTGGAGTTTCCCCATCCTCTGAAAAATCTGAAAAGGACGCCTGCTCCGCTTCAAAGGCCCTTCTGCTGCCTTTCCCTGCTGGACACCTTGGTTTTGTTTGGCTTGTTTGTCGTCTTGTTAATTTCGGGGTTTTTTATGTGGATGTTTTTTATGTGGGAAGCAGGGCTGCTCTGAGGGCGGGTGGACATGGAAACCCACTCCCCAAATCAGTGGCCTCGGGTGCAGGTTTGGTGGGCCATTCCGGAAGGGAGCAGCCTCCCTGCAGTGCCTTTCCTCCGTAGTCCCTGCGTCACCATGGCCGCCCTCTAGAGAGCCAGGCAGGGGCTTCTCAGGAGACCCCCACCTGAGCCAAGATGAAGGTGGGAAACAAACTGGTGGGCCCCTTGCCCTCCCCTGCCATCCCACCCACAGGAAGCCACCTGTGCTGGCTGTGGGATCTGGCTTGCCCGCTGGCAAGGGGGCCACCCCTCTCGTGAGGCAGACCCTGCCACTCTGCACATCCCCTGAGGCTGCTCCCTGCAATGGGGCCTGGGGTCTCTTTCCCTGTGCCCCTTCTCGCTGCACACCCCCTGCTTCTGTTTGTGCCAGACCCCCCTTTTAGTGGGGGTCAGGGGTCTTTTTCATGGTTGTGTGTCTGTCGGAAAATAAAGGTTCTCCAACGTGATCTGTCTCGTGTCTCCTTCCTGCTTTCAGCGCGGCGGAGAAAGTGGCAGGCTGGTCTCAGTCCCTGGATTTTGCCGGGGGTGGGGGTGAGAGAGAGAAATACCTGGGGATGTGGGATTTTTGCTCTTTCCTTCCCTTGCCTCCCCCACCCCCAGGCATCATCACTTTCTCCACTTAAATATGCCAGTGGCTGTTGAATCATCCATTCTGGGGCGATGCTCATCTCCTGTGCCTTTTCTGAGCTGCGGGAGAAGAGGGGTGGGAGGGGTGGCATGGAAACGGCCTTGGTGGGGCCTCCGGCAGCCTCAGCTCCCCCCCCCCGAGCCCTCCTTGCTGGAGCCTCTCAGCACCAGAAGAAGGAAATGAAAACACTCCCCACCTGATCCCCAGTTACGCTTTTGGAAAGTGGGGGGGGGGCACATTTCCAGCATGCCCACAAAACTGGCAAGTGTCCCGATTTTCCAGGGACAATCCTGGAATTACAGAAGCCAACCTAGTTTAGGATTTGATCCCAGAAAGCCCTGGGTTCCCTTTTTCCTTCCGTCCACGTCTCGGAGAATAATTAGAAGTGGTGCAGGCGCAAAAACCCAATTCTGTTCATACTGGAAATAAAATTCCTGCACCAAGTGAAAGAAATGGCAAAGCTGGGATATGAAGAAGGAAAAGGTCACTCATCCATTCTAAAGTCTTTCATTGGAATTCTTCCTTTATTCCTTTATTGTAATGGGAGCCTTACACGGTCTACTGAGAAGTAACTCCCACTGTATTCAATGGAGCTTACTCCCAGGTAACTGTGTCAAGACTGGGCAGCCTTGCACTGCAATCCGAAGCATTTTTACTCAGAAGGGGTGAGCTCCCGTTGCTCGGTCCCTGCTCCTGCCATCCTAGCAGTTTGAAAGCACGTCAAAAATAGGTACCGCTCTGGTGGGAAGGTAAACGGCGTTTCCGTGCGCTGCTCTGGTTCGCCAGAAGCGGCTTAGTCATGCTGACCACGGCTCCCTTGGCCAGTAAAGCGAGATGAGTGCCGCAACCCCAGAGTCGGTCACGACTGGATCTAATGGTTAGGGGTCCCTTTACCTTTACTAAGTTCCTTTGAGCTCAATAGGATTTACTCTCTGACGAGAGCCAGTATGGTGTAGTGGTTAAGAGCGGTAGTCTCGTAATCTGGGGAACCAGGTTCGCGTCTCCGCTCCTCCACATGCAGCTGCTGGGTGACCTTGGGCCAGTCACACTTCTCTGAAGTCTCTCAGCCCCACTCACCTCACAGAGTGTTTGTTGTGGGGGAGGAAGGGAAAGGAGAATGTGAGCCTCTTTGAGACTCCTTCGGGTAGTGATAAAGCAGGATATCAAATCCAAACTCTTCTTCTCTCTCGGTTTACTCTCCTGATCATTCTCACAGTTACCATTCTTATTGTTTGCCAGAGAAATGTCTTCTGGGGCAGGTAAAAAGAATGAGGAGGTGTCTCTCCAACACAGACACACACCATGGGGTCAGTTCCCCAAATGCTGGCCAGGCCATAGTTCATGTGGGGGCAGAGGCGGCCTGGCACAAGGCCCCCTGGGGAGGCCCCCTCTCCCATGCCAGGCTGCCCTGTGCCCCTTCCGGGTGAGGGAGGGAGGGACTGAGAGCTTCTCCTCCTCCTCCTGCTTTCTTGCCCGCTCCCTGCTTCTTGGGAAATGCTATTGCTGGATCCTTGTGGGCAAATTCAGTCCCGCCACCCCCCACCCCCCAGGAGACATCCAATCAAGGGGAATGTTGGAAGATTCAAGATGGAGAAAAGAAAGGACTTCCTTACACAGCACAGAGGTGAGCTGAGGAACTCCCTCCCACCGGAATTCCTCTTCTCCACTGGGGGTGGTCAGATGATGGTTGGCCCAACCATCTCTGTGTCCAGTGTAAAGCTGGCCTCTCTGAGCTCCTTGGGGAAGAAGGGAGGGTTGTACAATTCAAGAAACCCACCAAGCAGGCCCATGTGGTGTCTGTGGTCCAGTCCCCCCCCCCCCACCAGGCCAGGTGGGTCTCCAGGGGGCAGAAAACAAAGTCCTCTGCTGGTGGAGTCAGCCTCTGTTTCCTAAATACTGATACATGACTGTGGTGGCCGTCCTTCCTTGCTTGCTTGCTTGCTTCCTGCCTGCCCCCCCCCCCAGCTCCTTGAGGGGGTGTCAGGACTCCTGGCAGCGTTGAGGCTGCGTCTGTTTCCTGCCAGCATCTTAAATCCAGCTCTTGTAGCTGTCAAAGAAATCTATCTCCATCTTTGAAGTCCATTAAGAGGAGCTGGAAGAGTCATGTAGCATCCAGGCTAATGAATGTCTTCTGCCTGTCACCTCTCCTTGCAGCCCAGAGCCCGTGTCCCCCGTCCCCCCCCCAGTTGTGGAGAAAGAAGAACTGCTGCAAGGATGGCCAGCCCTTGCCTTGGCCTCCTGTCATCCAGCAGCACAGAGAGAGGCAGGAGGGGGCCGTGGGGATCGTGGGACGGGAAGGGGCCCATAACCTGTCAGGGTTTGAAAAAGAAAAGGTTCTGACCTCCTTTGTACGCCTTTGCCTGGTCCTCAGACCTTAGTTGGCACAAAAGAGTCTTTGAGAAGGAGTATTCTTGCAGAGTATTGCCGCTTGTACAGTGGTACCTCGGGTTAAGTACTTAATTCATTCCGGAGGTCTGTTCTTAGCCTGAAACTGTTCTTAACCTGAAGCACCACTTTAGCTAATGGGGCCTCCTGCTGCTGCCACGTGATTTCTGTTCTCATCCTGAAGCAAAGTTCTTAACCCGAGGTACTATTTCTGGGTTAGCGGAGTCTATAACCTGAAGCGTCTGTAACCTGAAGTGTATGTAACCCGAGGTACCACTGTATTCTTAAAAAGTCTTCTTCTCCAACCACGACTGACAGCTTTTACAGAAACCAAACACAACCAGCTGACTTAGTTCTTCTAGCATTAAAGAAACAGCGGCCAATTTTTAGCCGTGACAGAGTCCTCTTGGCACGACCCATAGACTCATAGAATTGTAGAGGTGGAAGGGACCCTGAGGGTCATCCAGACCAGCCCCCCGCAATGAGGAATCGCAACTGAAGCATCCATGACAGAGGGCTACCCAAACTCTGCTTAAAGACCTCCAAGAAAGGAGAGTCCGCCACCTTCCAAGGCGACCAAGATGGCGGTCTGTAAACCAAGCCAGATGAGGAACGGTTGAAGGAGCTGGGTACGTTTAGCCTGGAGAAGAGGAGACTGAGAGGAGATCGGAGAGCCATCTTCAAGTGCCCCATGGAAGATGGAGAAAACTTGTTCTCTGCTTCTCCAGAGGGGAGGACCCAAGACTCAAATGGAGGTTTTCAGCCAGAGGTTGGGTGACCACCTGTCAGGGATGCTTTAGCTGGGATTCCTGCATTGCAGGCAGGGGGCTGGACTAGATGGCCCTCGTGACCCCTCCACCTCTACAGTTCTATGATCCCACTGCTGACCTCTTTGCCCTCAAGGGCCACTGCTCTCCTGGGACTGTGAGGTGGGGGTGGGTTTCAACCTTCTGCCTGGGCTTTCTCCAAATAGGAAATGGCACCAGGAGGGGCTCCAGTGGGGGCAGCCCTCGATTCTGCCCCTGAACAACAGTCCGGCCTGGTGCACACACCCTCTGCCACGTCTTGGCCCCGTGGTCAAGAGCCCAAGAGTCCAAGAGTCCAAGCCCAAGGTCTCTTCCCAACCTGATTTGGGTTCCTGGAAAGAAGAGGAGAAGATGATGGATGTGCTCATTTATAAGCATCTGCATAAGAAGGCAGTGATTAGCAGCAGCCAGTATGGATTTGTCAACAATAAATTCTGCCCAACTAGCCTTGTGATTGAGTTAGTGGTCAGTGGGAATGCTGCAGACATCATTCATTGTGAATCCAGCCAAGTCCCTCTGGGGTATTTTGGTTTACAAGGTGATGAAGCAATGTGGGTGAGGAAGTGGGTGAGACCAGCAGGTGGAGTCAAGGCTGGTTGCTAAGCCGCCTTCACAGAAGACCCGCCAGGGTCTGGTGGGAGGCTTCCAGCAGGGGGGCTGTGTGGTGCAGTGGTTAGAGTGTCAGGCTAAGATCTGGGAGAGAGCAGGGTTCGAATCCCGTTCAGCCATGAAGCTCACCTTGGGGGGCCAGTCGCTCCCTCTTGAGAGCCAGTGTGGTGCAGTGGTTAAGAGCGGTAGACTTGTAATCTGGGGAACCGGGTTCACTTCCCCGCTCTTCCACATGCAGGTAGACTCGTAATCTGGGGAACCGGGTTCACTTCCCCGCTCCTCCACATGCAGCTGCTGGGTGACCTTGGGCCAGTCACACTTCTCTGAAGTCTCTCAGCCCCACTCACCTCACAGAGTGTTTCTTGTGGGGGAGGAAGGGAAAGGAGAATGTTAGCCGCTGGGAGACTCCTTCGGGTAGTGATAAAGCGGGATATCAAATCCAAAACTCTCTTCTTCTTCTTCTTAACCTACCCTACCTCTCAGGGATGTTGGGATTAAATGAGGGGATGGGGGAACCATGGGCATGGGGTGTAATTGCAACAAGTAACATACAATGCCTGCCCAAAGGTGAGCAGGGGAGGGGTGAGGCTCCAGAGTGGCCCCTCACAGAGGAAGCCCCTCTTGAACTCTGGCCAGGAGACCCAAGGGACATCCTCAGAAGAGGGAAGGCATTCTGGGGCAGAGGCAGACTTCCAGGCAGCCAGAGGATGTAGGCTGAGCTCTTGGTCCTTGACTCTCCATTGTGTGGGATGTGATACATAAGTAGCAGTCAAGTACAACATTCCTTGTTTCCCTAGAGTGGACATGTGGGGGAATGTTTGGTGCAGCCAGTGGAAAGCTTCCTGTTGTTATTTATGTATTTATCTGTATATCTTAAAAATCGAACAGAGGTGGGCATGACCTTACATGTCCAGGTAACAAAGGGACAGGGCATGCTGCGTCATCTTTCCGTCATTGGAGCAGCTTTTTAGCTAGAAATGCCCCATTGGCTTTCAGCCAGAAGAGGACACTGGGATTATCCCCAGGGGGATAGATCCACATGCATATACTTTGTAACTAAGTCTGCCTTCAGGGATCCAACTGTGAACTGTATGTGAGTAAACTACTATTATTGACTTTAAACTAGATTGTGGCTTGTTTATTCTTTTAAGAGAGATAAAAGGGAACTTAACAGGAACCTAACAGTGAGAGGCTTACTCAAGGCTGCAGCTAGTTATCTGCTGTGCGTTTAAAAGAGGAATGTAAAGGGACTTGCTAGCACAAGTTAGGAAGCATATTAATAAACAAGATATCCTCTCCTGCCTCCCTGAACATTCCCACACGTTGGAGGTTTTTAAGCAGAGGTTCATGGAATCGTAGGACGGGAAAGTTGGAAGGGACCCCCAAGGGCCATCTAGTCCAACCCCCTGCAATGCTAGATGGCCCTAAGGATGTTAGAATTCCTGCTACGTGATTGCAGTCATGGGATTGTTGTCTTTCACATGACAGTGTATGTTTTGACTCCACAGAGTGGGAAGTGACAGAGACAGGATGTTTGTGTTACTGTGTTTCCTGAAGTGGGATTATTGTTCTCTCTTTGCTGTCTGATGCTAGAGAGAGAGGGAGCCATGTTGCAGTGCTCTGTGTGTGTTTATATGTAAATAAAAGTAGATTAGCCAAAATGCTGAGTTGCTGAGGTCTGTTATGCAAACTGCGAAGACTCTGCAGAGCCCTAAGTGTGCCAGTGTCTGCTGGCATCGGTCGCTGTGATGTTCATGCTGAAGAAAGCTTTTGGAGCTCCCGAACGAACGACCAGGAGGGAGAGAACGTGCCAGTTGGGTATTGTAGGAAAGATCGCTGGGTTGTGGAGCACACTCCCTATTTTATTTTATAAGATATTTATTAGGTTTTTTGAAATATTACAGTAAAAATGAAAAGAAAAGAGAAAAAAACAAAATAAAAACAATTAAAAACACACATGTTTCCAGTTACTTATTTTCCTTTAGCTTGTTTCCTGGACCTCCTCATACCTCCCTTTTTGTATTCCACTTCAATTTATTGGTTCAGCAAATCCTTACCATTAGATTTTAACCCATTTATAACCCTTTTTTCATATTCTCTTAAAGCATTACAGCTACAAACCACTTAGTTACTATCCAACATCATTCTATCATTCATTAATTTTACAATATTTCTGTAAGTAGTCTTTAAATTTCTTCCAATCTTCTTCCACCGACTCTTCTCCCTGGTCTCGGATTCTGCCAGTCATTTCTGCCAATTCCATATAGTCCATCACCTTCATCTGCCATTCTTCCAAAGTGGGTAGATCTTGTGTCTTCCAATACTTTGCAATGAGTATTCTTGCTGCTGTTGTAGCATACATAAAAAGTTCTGTCCTTCTTTGGCACCAATTGGCCGACTATGCCCAGAAGAAAGGCCTCTGGTTTCTTCAAGAAGGTATATTTAAATACCTTTTTCAGTTCATTATATATCATTTCCCAGAAAGCCTTAATCCTTGGGCACATCCACCAAAGGTGAAAGAATGTACCTTCAGTTTCTTTACATTTCCAACATTTGTTATCGAGCAAGTGATAGATTTTCGCAAGCTTGACTGGGGTTATGTACCACCTGTATATCATTTTCATAATATTCTCTCTTAAGGCATTACATGCCGTAAACTTCATACCTGTGGTCCATAACTGTTCCCAGTCAGCAAACATAATATTATGTCCAACATCTTGTGCCCATTTAATCATCGCAGATTTCACCGTTTCATCCTGAGTATTCCATTTCAACAGCAAGTTATACATTCTTGACAAATTTTTAGTTTTGGGTTCTAACAGTTCTGTTTCTAATTTTGATTTTTCCACCTGGAAGCCAATTTTCTTATCCAGATTATATGCCTCCATTATCTTATATGCCTCCATTATCTGTGGAGCACACTCCCCCCCACAGACAAGCCAGCTGTCTGAACATCTTGCCCTCTGTCTAACCTTTTGCGGTCTCAGTAGTCTGCTGTGTCCTGTCTGTGACCTTTGTCTCTGTGACCTTTGTCTCCTTCGTCATACATTGTGCAAGGGGAAAAGGACGCGGTGGAAACAGGTGCCAAAATAGCTTTGTACCACCCCACGATCTCGGGACTGGAAGATGTGTAAAGGTCACAGCCCAAAATGTATCTGCCTGGGGTTGCATATTGTGTCAATAAAAGGAGCCTCCACAGAGCTGGCCGGCAGCTTGCTTGCAGCTCACCTGTGCGCAGCTCACCTGCATTATCAGCTCCCGCCTCATGTCCTTCACTTCAGGGTATGTGACTCTACCAGGGTCCTACTTGAGTGTCCCTTCCAAATCTACAATGTTATGATTCTTTGAAGCTCTTGCAATGCAGGAATCTCAACTAAAGCAGGCGCCTGTCCAACATCTGCTTAAAACCTCAAGTGAAGGAGCGTCCACTCCCTTCTAAGACAAGTCTGCTGCACAGCCAAAGAGCTCTGATGGTCAGGTTGGGTGGCCATCTGCCAGGGATGCTTCACTTGTGGTTCCTGCATTGCAGGGGGTTGGACTGGATGATCCTGGGGGATCCCTCCCAACTCTCCCCCTCCATGATTCTATGATTCAAAGGAGATTTTATTCTCCCGGGTGCCCTGGGCCTCCTCAACCCACATGGACAAAGGCCTGAAGCCCACCCCCAATTAACACACCAGGCTTGAGCTTGGTGGAGCCATCAGGTCATCCGTCAACCGCTGACAGCTCAGTTGGCTGCCTGGATCAGAGAAAAGGGCCGTTTTCTGTTTGCCTTCCGTCTGCTTCATCCAAAGCACAAGAGCTGAACTTCAAGGAAACATTCAAGGCTGAAGCGGAGGCAGTTTTGCAGGAAGAGGCGCAAATCCCTCTATTTCCAGGCAACACTTCGGAACAAGGCTTCCTGCACCTGCCAGTCTCTAAGGTGACACTTTGTTCGCTGGCCTTGAGGCGAGGGGGGTGGGGGGGCTGGGATTTTGCAGCGGGATTGAATCCTCGAGGGAGCAGGGCTTTGCCTGAGGACAACCTTGTTTTGCTGCTACCTTGATGGCCTCAGCAGTTTGCTCCAGGACTGGCAAAAGGACAAGAAATGCAAAAGAAAACAAATCAATGGAAAGCTCCAGAAGATGCAGAGGGCAGCCGAAATAATAAAACAAAATCCATCAGGATCAGTTGCAGGAGAATGATACTGGTGTGCAATAAATAAATGGAATAAACAGTTCAGAGGAATATATTGAAAAAGATATAAAACGAACTGTGCAACAAAATCAAGACAATAGAAAAAGTATATAGAGAACGATTGGAAGTTTTTCACAGAAAACTATAAGACATGATGTTGTATAAATATGTGGTTCTTTTAATTGTCTTTTTTTCTTTTTCTTTTTTGTTACTTTTAAACCTTTTTTCGACCTGGATGTTTGTGTTACTGTGTTTCCTGAAGTGGGATTATTGTCACCTTTTTGAGGTGACGAATCCCTTTTTTCTTCTTTTTTCTTTTTTGTGCTTAATTTTGTTATACTTACCTTTACTGCATGGTTGTATTTTAAATTAATAAAGATTTATATTATTTTTTTAAAAAAAGGATCAGCTGCAGAACCGCTCGGGTCAGCCCATCGGAGGTGACCCTGGAGAGCTGCTGCTTAACTTACTTATATCCTGCCTTTTTCCTATATGGGAGGGACGCAGGTGGCGCTGTGGGTAAAACCTCAGCGCCTGGGACTTGCCGATCGCATGGTCGGCGGTTCGAATCCCGCGGCGGGGTGTGCTCCCGTCGCTCAGTCCCAGCGCCTGCCAACCTAGCAGTTCGAAAGCACCCCCGGGTGCAAGTAGATAAATAGGGGCCGCTTACTAGCGGGAAGGTAAGCGGCGTTCCGTGTGCTGTGCTGGCTCGCCAGATGCAGCTTGTCACGCTGGCCACGTGACCCGGACGTGTCTGCGGACAGCGCTGGCTCTCGGCCTATAGAGTGAGATGAGCGCACAACCCTAGAGTCTGGCAAGACTGGCCCGTACGGGCAGGGGTACCTTTACCTTTCTTTCCTAGACAGTGTGTCTGTGTGTGTAGGCAGAACCACAGAATTGTACCATTGGGAGGGGCCTCCAGGGACCATCTAGTCCAGCCCGC